ATCTAACTACAATAGAGCATTCTGGGAAATATGATAATGATGGGCTGAGTTTTGCCAGCTAGACCATGCTGGTCAGCCAGCATAACCAGCTAGACAATGCTGGTCGGCCAGCATAACCAGCTAGACCATGCTGTTCAGCAGGGTTGGGTAGGTTACTTTCTTAATGTAATTCGTTAGTTACTAGTTACCTGTCCAACGTTGTAATAAGTAACACAACTTTTGGATTACCCAAACTCAGTAACGTAATCGTATTACTTTCAGTTACTTTTAGATGACTTTCCCCTTAAAGGGCAATTCCGCCATTTTTCAACATCATATTCATTATCTCCAGCACAATTCCAGTGTCTACATGTGAAAAAGACAAGAAGGTCCTAAAACATGCTTCTCTGTGACATCACTGGGTAGGATTAAAAGTAAGAAAAACTGTGATTTTCAAAACCTGCAATGAGTTTCTAGCCAGAGGGAGGGTATTTTCTTGCTCCCCAATCATTTGAATCTCATAGTGTTAGAAAATAACAGTTTTTAAAATGAGGTTGAAAAGTGGTCAGAAGAAGACACAAATGAATATTACCAATTGAACTACATCTATTGCAGGATAAATTAATGTTAGAGTTAGCTGGCCATAAATGGATGTTGCATTTTAGTTTATAGGTTGGTTATGTAGGCTTCTTCTAACCCATTACCTTCTACTACAGATAATAATACGATTAGGTTATATCTTTACATTAAAAACCAAAGCCTGTCAGATTTCCCGTCATTACAATTAATTGAATACCCCTTGATCTTCAAAAATATGCCTTGGAAATATGTAAATATAGATTAGCCAAATTGTTTTACCTAAGCGTAACCCATAAACTAAGGACTTAATAGCCTATAACCTACTCTGCTGTTGATGATTTTGTTGTCATGGATGATTGGGCTCATTGCTTGGAGTTGAAAAATAAATGCTGCTCTCATGGAATGGCATGCTTTGAGCACTACCGAAAAGTGCTATTTGCATGTGAAAAATTTATTCCAAATGCTGCATTTGGTATAGCCCTTGGTGTAGCCTACAAAAAAGCCTATTCCTGTTATTTTCCCACAATCCATCAAGCACATTTGGTGTGTTAGTGGTCTCTGACTTGTGGTCAGACTTGCTCATGCGGAACAAACTTAAATGTACACCTTTTTTCGATATGGATTTGAATCATTGAGAAAACAGAAAGGTGTCAAAGACTGCTTTCGCAAATATCCTTTCTGAATTTAAAAGGAATCCTAGAAGTAATCTAGTTTTTCAAAAGTATCTGTAATCTGATTACAATATTTTTTGCTTGTGATGTAACGGATTACAGTTAGTTTTTTTGTAATCCATTACATGTAAGAGATTAATCCGTTACTCCCCAATCCAGTTTGACCAGCATCAGATCAGCACTGACCAGCTTAAAATGTAGGCTGGTCTATGCTGGCTTTTTCAGCAGGGTTAATAGCACATCCTAATAACAACGATGAACAATAAGAGATGCTTGAAGACATCATCCAGTCTAGCCTGTTCCCAAAATAAACAGATATTAAACACATTTATGTGCTCATAAATCAGATGCACCCCAAGCAGGTACAGAACTATTAGTAGAACCCTGATCATCTCACTGTTGCTATACTGAACACTCACTAATGAAATTTGCCCCACCCAACTCTTCCTGGACCTTCTGTGAGAAGTGATAATTCCATCCACTTAATTGCACCTGCCTTCTTAGCGATGCACCATTAGCCGGCTATAAACCCAGGTTCCTGGGGTCCATTCTATTTCTATATGGTGCCCTGGATGGTCACAGCACACAGACGTCCCTTTTATTGGTACCCGTTCCCAGGGATTAATACAATTCCACCCAAAAACAACATTCAAGTGACATCATTGTTCTCCGAATCCAGGAAGGGAACAGAGGTGGCTTCTCATTTCCTGGTGAAGGACAGATGAGAGGCAATGGAAAGGCCTTTTCTGAAAATATGGCCATTTGAAACTTTCACTTAATCCTCTCTCCAGCAACTAGTCCTTAGTTTACTTTACATTCATATTTGAAGTACACAGGCCTGAAGGATAAAATAGCTCACACATAAACCCAACTCGTTCTTGCATCCTTCCATGTTTCCCTTCAGCAATGATATACAGTGGGTACTAAAGGCTAGATCCATTGACCCCAGCAGTAAAAGCTAGCTCTTAACAGGGAACAGGAATTGTCCCTGTATGGTTGGTTTAAGCCTGTTGCGTGGAAACAGCAATCCAGGTGATGCATCAGTCCATGGCAGGAAGCCAGAGGCAGACGTGGATATCAGGGTCTGTGGGGGCTGATGGATGGAGCTGGAGAGCCAGACAAACCAAGCCATTCACACTGCAATAAATTATGTTTACGGCTGCCCACGGCTCTCTGCACTAGCAGACATTTCTTCAGGTGTCAGCAGGACATTATCATATTTAATCGCCCCCAGCAACCTGCGCTAAATGGGTAGGAGATTGAAGTGGCCATCGTTCTCTCTCTGTAAACACGATTTACATCACAAACAACAAATCAAGATATTTACGGACCCCTTTATTAAGTTATTTCAAACTGAAAGCTTTAATTAAGAGTTTTTTCGAAAGCATTTTATTTGACGTAACTCTTTTACGATGACATGTGCTCTGCAAAACTTGATCAGAAGATCCCTGAAAACAAATGGGCCTCCTGTTAAAGCATGGAGAGGATCAGTTCATTACATGGCAGGCATGCACAATGAAAGTGCATTGTGTTTTCTGAAGCATATCATATTATTTTTTTTAAAGCATGGTTAACAACTAGAAATATTTACAGTTGTGATCATACTTAAAATAAACGACCGATCATCAATGAGAAGAGGTACATAAAAGACTGACAACCCTCACCCACATGCACCCTTGCGCGCGCACACACACACACACACACACACACACACACACACTACTACAGCATGGATTTCAGTGAAGGAACATTGCTGGTTTCTCTAATCGACACCAACTGCAGACATTGAGCTAAGAATAATGCTGTATTGCAGGTTGTCATGAAAAACATTTGTACCTGAAAAGATTGATAGAAAATACATAGAATGTTTCCACTAATGGATAAGCAGCCAATTGATTAAAGGGAAAAAGCAAAGCTGACAAATAATTGAGAGACAGCTAAAACTGGCCAAGTAATATTCAATACAATTTAAAGGTAATTTCATGTAGTAAACTCCCCCTATGGATTATACTCAAATGGATCAAACATTAGCATCCTTGTACAAAAACAAAACAAATATGGTAATAAAAATAAAAGAGTACAAAATATATATATATATATATATATATATATATATTTATTCATTTTTATGTCTAACTGTATTTACAAGGAGATTGTAGTTTGAATGAAATAACTGACCACTGCGCCAACATACACTACATGATCAAAAGTATGTGGACACCTGCTCATCGAACATCTCATTCCAAAATCATGGTCATTAATATGGAGTTGGTCCCCCCTTTGCTGCTATAACAGTCTCCACTCTTCCAGGAAGGCGTTCCACTAGACGTTGGAACATCGCTGCGAGGACTTGCGTCCATTCAGCCACAAGAGCATTAGTAAGGTCGGGCACTGATGTTGGGCGATTAGGCCTGGCTCGCAATCGGCGTTCCAATTCATCCCAAAAGTGTTAGATTGGGTTGAGGTCAGGGCTCTGTGCAGGTCAGTCAAGTTCTTCCACACCGATCTCCACAAACCATTTCTGTATGGACCTCGCTTTGTGCATGGGGGAATTGTCATTCTGAAAAAGGAAAGGGCCTTCCCCAAACTGTTGCCACAAAGTTGGAAGCACAGTCATTGTATGCTAAGGGACCAAGCCCAACCATGAAAAACATCCCCAGACCATTATTCCTCCTCCAAACTTTACAGTTGGCACTATGCATTGGGGCAGGTAGCGTTCTTCAGGCATCCGCCAAACCCAGATTTGTCTGTCGGACTGCCAGATGGTGAATCGTGATTCATCACTCCAGAGAACGCGTTTCCACTGCTCCAGAGTCCAATATGGGAACTAGCTTTACACCACTCCAGCCGACGCTTGGCATTGCGCATGGTGATCTTAGGCTTGTGTGCGGCTGCTCGGCCATGGAAACCCATTTCATGAAGCTCCCGACGAACAGTTATTGTGCTGACGTTGCTTTCAGAGGCAGTTTGGAACTCTGTAGTGAGTGTTGCAACCGAGGACAGACGGTTTTTACGCGCTTCAGTACTCAGTGGTCCCGTTCTGTGAGCTTGTATGGCCTACCACTTTATGACTGAGCCGTTGTTGCTTCTAGACATTTCCACTTCACCATAACAGCACGTAGAGTTGACTGGGGCAGCTCCAGCAGGCCATACATTTGACAAACTGACTTGTTGGAAAGGTGGCATCCTAAGATGGTGCCACGTTGAAAGTCAGTGCTTGATTTTATACACCTGTCAGCAACGGCTGTGGCTGAAATGGCCGAATCCACTAATTTGAAAGCGTGTCCACATACTTTTGTATATATAGTGTATACAAGGTATGAATGTCCCTTGGTAATATATTCTCTGGAATTGGTCTTAAAAGCAAAATGCACATTGGAAAAATACAACAGACATAATCCTAACTCCGATCCATCCAATTCATAATCCTTTCAATTCAGTCCAGTCTGTTTCTCATGTTCCGTGGAATGACCAGAGTAGAGAAATTAGTGAGTCTTTCCTTCTCCTGCACTGTTTGACACAAACCGAAAGAAAATCCCAGCAATACAAAGTGCCCTGAAAACATATCCACCTCAACCACGAGCCAGCGAACTGCCTTGAGTCCTTGATGCCCAACCAGTCGGTTTAAACGTTTCAGAAGTAAGCCCCTGTCACAATCTCCACCAGTGTGTTACCTAATCTCTGGGAGGGTGGGAAGTGTCCATACCAGGCCAGCGGTGCAGAGGGGAGGACAAGAAGAGGAATGTTAGGGTGTTTGAGGGGAGTGAGGTATCAGCGCTTCTTGAGGGCCACCCCGTTGGAGTGGGGAGGGAACTTTGGCAGGCAGGGCTCCTCAGCCCCAGCATCGTGGGAGAAGACAGAGTCCTCGCCTGAGGAGCAGGTGGAGCTGCGAGTGTCGGGGTAGCTGGGGGAATACTGGTCCAGAGGCACAGACAGCTCCAAGTACTCCTGCAAACACACACATATGGCATTTATGAGAGAGGATTAGACACACTGGCCAGAACAGTCATATCTGGCTTTGGATATCATTACTTTTACACCACATACAGACAAATGGCTTAAATATGAAGTTAACACAATATTAACATTTTGCATTTAGTCCTGACAGTAACATGTCTGTGTGTGTGAACTGCTGAGGTGTGCTCAATGTGGGGACTCACCTGGTTGGACGTCATGGCCAGGGTGCGGTCCAGGTCTTCCACCAGCTGTTTGAACGTGGGCCGGTGAGAGGGAACAGCATGCCAGCAGTCCCTCATCATCATGTATCTTTGGGAGGGTGGAGGAGAAATGGAGAGAATTTAGAGGGAGAGAAGGAGTGCGGGAAAGGGAGAGTCATAATTCCGCTGCTGGCTTGTGTCTATTATCAGAGAACAATATATTTACTGCTGCATCCCTGAGCTCTGGTATAATATCTTTACTGCTACATCCCTGAGCTCTGGGACAATATCTTTACTGCTACATCCCTGAGCTCTGGGACAATATCTTTACTGCTGCATCCCTGAGCTCTGGGACAATATCTTTACTGCTACATCCCTGAGCTCTGGGATAATATCTTTACTGCTACATCCCTGAGCTCTGGGATAATATCTTTACTGCTGCATCCCTGAGCTCTGGGATAATATCTTTACTGCTACATCCCTGAGCTCTGGGATAATATCTTTACTGCTACATCCCTGAGCTCTGGGATAATATCTTTACTGCTGCATCCCTGAGCTCTGGGATAATATCTTTACTGCTACATCCCTGAGCTCTGGGATAATATCTTTACTGCTGCATCCCTGAGCTCTGGGATAATATCTTTACTGCTACATCCCTGAGCTCTGGGATAATATCTTTACTGCTGCATCCCTGAGCTCTGGAATAATCACATAGTAACCATTCTAATGATAGAACACAGAGGAAGGCGGCTTACAGTTGGTGAGTGCAGGTGGAGGGCTTGTCCATGCGGTGGCCCTCCTTCAGCAGCTTGAACAGCTCCTCTACAGGAACCCCCGGGTACGGCGAGCCCCCCAGGGTGAAGATCTCCCACAGCAGCACCCCGAAAGACCATCTGCAGAGACAGAGGGACAAACCCGTCAGTCAACACACAGGTCATATCATACAAGCCACATGAATCTGGCCAACTTCTGCCCATTCCAACAAATGGTAAAGGTGTATCTATTCCACACTCACACATCACTTTGGTGCGTGTATATCCGGTCAAATAGAGCTTCTGGGGCCATCCACTTGACTGGTAAACGACCCTGTGGGTTAAATGCTAGTGTAAATTGGCTTATTTACACAGGAGATAGAATAAGGTAAGGGGAAGCAATTCTCACATTAATTGGCATGGCTGAGGTAGGTACTGTAATTAGTAGCATACTCACATTGGTGGTCTTCTTATAGTAATCAATATGGTGGATATCTCTGGCCAACCCAAAGTCTGCGATCTTCATCACGTTGTCCTCTGTCACCAGCACGTTGCGGGCAGCCAGATCTCTGTGGATACACTGTACACAGACACATAAGAACTAGGTCTAGCTGGCCCAGCACATTCACTGCATCTTTACTGTACTATACTCAACTGTGCTGATGTACGTAGAGTCGGATCCTGATGTTACCTTCTTAGAGGACAGGTACTCCATGCCGCGGGCCACCTGGTAGGCACAGGAAACCAGGTCTTTGATAGACATGTTCTCTATGGGCACCTGGTCAGGGTTGTAGCAGTACTCCATGCCTGGTGGACGCCGAGCTCTCAGGTACTCCCGGAGGTTTCCCTTGGAGGCATACTCCACAATAACATAGAGAGGACCTGGGGAGGGAGAGGAAGACAATGGTCACTCACTATTCAACACCACTGGATGATGTGGCATTTAGAATACCTTTATGTGACACCTAACACAATAAGACAGACTAATAGGAGCAGAACAGCATTTCAAGCGGTGAGGATGGATTTCATTGAGGGGTGGAGGGGTCATAGTGAGAGTTAAGCTCTGAATTATAACCAACAGCTGTATCTTTCTCCTAACATGCCAATGAGAGAGAGAGAGAGAGAGAGAGAGAGAAGACTAATGGTGTATTCTGGACAGCCATTTTGTGGTCAGGGAAAAACACCATTAACAAAATCATGGAATTAAGACTCTACAAGTTGTAAATAAAGGACAAGAAAAATAATTAAAATGTCTGTTAACACGTGTACTCAGTGTTTAAAAAAATAAAATAATCGACATCACTATCTATAGTAAATGCATTGACTTGAAAACAGTTTGCCAAAAATGAGAGTTTGTATGTCAAACCAGTCTGGGGAATAATACATGGAATGCTACCAGATTCCTACAGTAACTTCTACTGGAACTTCTCAAGGGACCAGGTGGAACAAAAACCAGCCTTGTGTTCTGCTACATGGTGTTTAGGACAGAAAGCTCTGCAATGTTCACAGCAGGGTCAGAGGAGGCTCATGTTCTTCCCCAGCAGAACACAGTGCATGGTGCCAGGGCTTGTCAGTGAAGATTTGAAAGATATGGCAACCCTGGCAGCAGCTGTGGTCATCTCAAACTGAGAGCTCGGAAGTTGGTGTCAGAATCCCTTACTCATACCATTATACACATTTCTGCATACTGATCTGAACATGCTGTTAAACAACTGAACAATGCAAGGGTCTCAAAACATTTTCTCAAAACACCAACTTTTTCCTCTAAAATTAAACATGTTTTCAGCCTTTCTGAATGAAAGATCTGAAGGAAAGAAGGGGGGTCTGTGCCAGTGTGAGACCTACCATCCTGGGTACAGGCTCCCAGCAGGTTAATTATGTTCTTGTGCTTCCCAATGATCTTCATCATCTCCATCTCGGAGATCAAATCTGACAGGTCTTTCTCTGTAGCATCAGCTGAGGGGAGGAAAGAAATACATTTTTTGTTTTGTTTTACTCATAAAATTCACTCAATCCTGAAACCTCTATGATTTGCAAATAATAAAGAATTCTCATGTACAGTAAACATCCCAGTTTTGTACAAAGCAAAGTAGATTATGCTACACAAAATTATTTCAAAGTTAATTTACATAACTACTTAAAAATGTTACAAAGGCACCAAGAGCAAAAGGCTACAGACAGCTAACCAATTTTTACTCTGTTCTCCCATTTGCACAGTGGCCAGGAGCCCGTGGCAGATGCCTCTTATGTCGGTGCATCATGGCTCTAAGTAGAACTCTCCTCCCATCCTGTAATTGCGGTTGTGGCTTTCTGCTACCTTCTGTGCTCCTTGTATTTTAAATAACTTCCCAACATGCAGTACGGGAGTCCCAGCCATGTGCCCAAATCACTGGTTTGATATGGTTTATGAGAAAAGAAACAACTTACATTTGAGCATCTTGACGGCCACTTTGGTGACCCTGTTTGGCTTCTCTTTGTCCATCCCTACAGCCTCTCCCATCACCACCTGGCCAAAGCAGCCTTCTCCCAGGGGCTTCCCCAGCACCAGTCTGAATGGGTCAAAGGGAGAGGAAGAAACAAACAAATGTGAGAGGATTGTGACAGACAGGCAATGTTCCCAATCAAAGTTGTGTGATGTTGTTATGTCTGTATTTGATAGGTGTGTTCCAGTCATCTGCGTACCTGTCCCTGGGCAGCTCCCAGCGTGGGTCCTGGGGCAGCTCGTACTCAGACACCCCAGACAGCATAGGAGAGCCACTGGACGAGAGGCGGGAGGGGCGCACCAACATCACCCCGGAGTGGAGGGAGGAGCTAGAGTCCACTGACACCTGGAATACAGAAGCCTGCTGTTACTCTCTCGTAGTGGAGCCAGGAAAGGAACAACAGACAGAAAGATGTCCAGTGTGGACAGAAAATAACGTACAATTTGTTAAACCCTCAAAATGTTACTGAAATAAGTCTGTAGACACAATGTCACAACTAAAACTAATTTGATCCCAGTGGAAGCAGAGAGAAGGATGAGACGAACACCTGCCTTCTACTCATACCCACCTGACTCACCACATGGGCTCTTTGGAGAACCAGAAGCTCAAGGAATTACGTTTTTTTTATTTTCACAATATAATGAAACCTTCCATTTGATAAGAATAAGTTAAACAAATTTGAAGACGGAAAAAAGATTACACTAAATGGGATGAGAATACTAAAAAGAGATAGCAGGAAAAGGTATAAAGATTTCAAACCCCCTATCTACTTTCTGTTACCTGTCTGCGCAGGGGGATGCTTTTAGCCAGCTTGTGGACAGCCAGCTGACTGCTGAAGTCACTCTTCTTGGACGAGCTGCGCATCTTGAAGATGATGGCCAAGGCCACCATGACAGCAATGAGGAAGAAGCCCACACAGTAGATCAGCACTTCCAGGTAGGTTTGGTTGGGTGGTGGAGAAGGGGGGACTGCTGGATGAGGGCAACGCGATAGGATAGGGGGCAGGAGGTCAGCCACACTGGGTCAAATCACAACTACAGAGGTCCATGCATTCTCAAATACCAATCACACTTTCACAACACAACACAGCACACACAGGCATGTAACAAATACACACACAGAGACCCCTCAACCACACACAACCACCCTGATACATTCACTAAGACCACTCAGCTGACATGTACAGAAAAACAGAGCCCTTGACACCACTGGCACAGAGCACGGAGCACAAACTCTTATTGTGGCACCATAATCACTTCTTTCAGGCATAGGGTTTCACTCCAAATTCTTTCCCAGTTTGACCAGTAGCCATATTCTCTAGTGGCAGAGAACAGCCAAGTTCTCTTGAGTTGGGACAAACCCAAACATATTACACAGAGCCTTTTGCAAACTCATGAGCATTAAAATGGATGTACATTAAATATACTAACTTTAATGCATTTATTTTTGTGTGCAAAGGCTCTGTTTTTAAGGAGAACATATGATATCACAGGCAAAAAAATATGCTATTGAACACCAATACAAATATTTTAAACATGTTCAATAGTAAGTTTAGTTAATTATTTGTCTAAAGTAAATGTCCCATTCTGACTTCCTTAGGGCACATAAAATGGTGGTTCTGCATAAAAGCCCAGTTTTAAATGGCTTGTGTGGTGGTTGTTGGTACACACAATTGTCATTATGATTTCCTTGTAATTACAACATTTGACATTGTCTCTCACGATAAGGAGCAAACCACCGAGGTACTGAAGTAGACTAGAAACAAAATATAAAATATGTTTAATCAAAATCTACTTATCTCCAATAACTCAAATTCAGATCAGTGTTGTAATATTTTGCAATATAGATTCAAATTATCATATTGGATGTTTCTTTTTTACCTCGCTTTCCGAAAAACACCAGAATGATACCAACACCAGCAACACAAGTGAGCTGCCCTTGTGTCTAGAGGCTGAATGACAAGAAGCTTGATAATTGGACAAATTCCAACCCTGAGGAATGAGCCGTCCACTACAGTGGGCCAATTATCAAAGCTAGCCTTAAGAGCAGGCTTTGTCCTCACAGCAGGAAATGACATCAGGGATATATGTCATTTGCAGTGCTTGTCAGAAAACATTAGCCTTACACAGAATCAAATGTAAACACCATATTGAAACCAGAATGGGAGAGACATAGGTTTGAGTGAAACACCAACAGTACTGCCAAACAACCCCTTCTCAATGTAAAACTTGTAAAGCAATAAAGTAGAAGTGCATTGTAAAGTTAACCATTTGAAACAATGTGGAAAAAGGACAAATCATTTATGAAATTGGCCAAATAATGTTAATTGTAATTTATTTTTATTCTACTTTCCAATTTTGAGGGTATAAACACTTGAAATTTCCTATTCAGGGGTTAAGTCGGTTGAGGTAAGTTGAGGTACTTTCTATGGGTCAGATAGGGTGTTTGGCATTCTGTTATTCCATAAAACAGAAGACAGAGGGGAAACATTTCTCAGCATGGACCATACTGTCCCATCCAGAAAGGTTGGATGGGACTGGAACCATGCTTACAGGGTGAGGGTGAAGGTTAGTAACACAATTTGGCCTGGCTTCCACACACATTAACATTGTTCACTGAAGTAGGGTCTACAGAGACCATATTCAGAGAAATGTGGGAAGTGGATGGCCAGGCCAAAGGGGAGAGGAGGGAGGGGAAGGAGGAAGTAGAGATCAGAGGAGAGAACCATTGATACCTTTAACAACGATCAACCATGCAGAGTGATGAGAGAACCCGATAGAATTGCCCGCCAAGCAGGTATACTCCCCAGCGTCATCAAAAGACACATTCCTCAGTTGGAGGATTTCCATTTCCTTGTCCGTGGTGTTAAGGCCAGCAGTCTAGAAAAGAACAATGGAAGCAGACCCGACAAGAGGCCCAGAGGAAAAAGGGAGGCATGAGTAAAAGATTCTGAAAGGGAAAGACTTCTGGTAGTGGAGGGGACAGGACAGAGGGTGGGTGGGGTGTTCATCCCCCCCTCTCAGTCCAACACCACCCCCCCCCCCCCCCCCACAAGAGTAAAAACCACACCGCCATTAGAGGGTGCTGCCAGTATCGGCCCTCCAGTCAGTCAGTGGAGGAGCTAGTTAGGTAGAGACCGCACCGCAGCACTGAACCCCTTCACTGTACCATCACCATTTGAGGAGAAGCAGGGACAGACATCCCATACCCTATAGACTCATCTCTACATGCAAGAGATGAGCTACATGGAAAACCCCTCAGCAGAGCACACGCTCACTCTCAAGACCACACACACACTTCACCATACAACAAATCCACCAGACAAACAGAAGGAGCACATTGAAAGATGGAAAGGCTGAGTAAAACAGCTGAAAAGCAGTGGGGGGGAACAAGGCAGTAATAAGAGCAGAAGACTTTGAAGGTCGAGGGAGTGAAAGTAATAGTAGTGGATGGCAGGAGATGCCCTTATTAGGATGGCACGGGAGAGGCATGGGGCAGGAGAGAGAAAGCAGTCCAACATAAACCAAGACTAAACACATTCAACCGCTCTGCTGGGAATTTTCCATAGAGTCATTTACAGTCAGGAGCACCGAGGCGGGATAGAGGGAGGGAGCGAGGGAGGAAAGAAACAGCTGAGGTTGTCCTTAAATAAGTCCCTAGGTCTCCAGGTGGCCATAACAGCCCCTGTTTGAGGCTCTCTGTGTGCTCTGAGCTGCTGCTGCGTGGGGCGGTTACCTTGGGCCTCATGCCTGACGACGGTCAGCCAGGCTGACTGATTGGCCTCGCCTATATAATTGGACACTTTACATATATACTCCCCGCTCTCCTCCTCAGTGACATTGTAGAGGGTCAACACCTGAGTGTCCGAGCTATTGACCCCAGAGTGCTGGAAACAAAAACAAGTCACGTGCAACAAGTCAAGATGAGGTTGTAACAAACATTTAAATAATCAGATTGATAGGGCAAAAAGCTGTTGTCTCTGTTGAATGAGATCACAATCATTTGTTAGCGTCGACTTTCCTCTGTCAAGCATAGAGTTTTACTCAACAGGGCACAGGAAACTACTTCTTACATAGAGGGATCATATCCTAGGAGAGGGATACTATTTGCCCTCCTTTGCCAGACAGCATTGAACGGATAGAATAGAGAAGACACAATGAAAATGATAAACTAGATTTCATTGAAATCTAATACTGTTTGGCTGTATTCCCCAAGTATTACATGGGGTGCGTTCCTAAATTCACTCTGGAGTGCGCTCTGGGCATTCGTAAATTCAGAGCGTTGGCAGATTGTCTGTTTGTAAATCCAGAGCGTTTTGGTCTCGGAGCGTTCAGAGTGCACACTGGACGCTCTGGCCAAGGTGTAGGGTTCATCCGAGCGTTCTGACCTTACAACAGCAGTCAAGCACCCAAGCTAACTTGCTAAAATTGGCTAGCTTGCTAGCTACTTCCAGACACAAATGAGAGAACACCACACTCTGACCATTTTACTTGCCCTAGCAGAGCTGATTAGGCTGTTGTCATGTTATCTATAGCTGTTGGTGACTGTACCTGTGCTGCTTGCAGACATTTACTGACACCGGTCAAATTCAACGGGTGTTGCGTGTTCATAAATTCATCAGCTATTCTGCGTTCTGGCACACTCAGACGAGAGTGCTTTGAAATCAGGAGTAGATAGCCAGAGTGAATTTACGAACGCACCCTTAAATGTAGGTTATCACCTTTTGTTCCAGACTGAAAATAATACTTGCAGCTATGTGGTGTGTACAGTCTGGTGGTGGACCCAGTCAGTGCACTGCGAGCCCATACCTTGAGGATACGGACGTAGGGTAAGCCATCAGGGCCTACGCGGCTTCCATTGACCTCGATGTGCTTCAGCCACTGGATGTGAGGCTGGGGGTCACTGAACACCTTACACTCAAACTCCACATCACTGCCCAACACCGCAGTGTTATTGGCTGGCAGTCCGGCCTGCAGGATGGGTCTGTGGGGGGAACGCTCTGCGACACATACACACAGACACACATCAATCACATTGAAAGACACATGTCAACCACATACGAAGACATAGTCGTGGAGAATCCTAGTGGTCATTGCAACAGAAAGACCTTGGGGAAAAAACAGCAAATGATTAGGCTACGTTTCTAGTTCATTCCAGTAATGAATAGGCATTGAGGCATTGCTAAATTAGGAGAGTAACAGACAACAGGAAGAGGACACCTCTATCAGTAGAGCCTGATCTAGGCCAGGTTACAAGGTTACCCTGATCTCATGTCATTTCACTACTTACATACGGTAATTTTTACAGCCAGGGAAATAACAGTTCCCCCTACTACTCTGTCGCCTGTATAATTGCTGCCATTTGGCCCAAATGACTGGAAACACAAGCTTGCAGACAAGTTTTAAGCCGCTGCCCTGAGAGAGAAATGTTCTCTGGGCGCCCTTTTGATGACTGATAACTCCCCCAACCGTACTAATGAGCCCAGCATCTGGCAAGGAAACAAATTGTCAGGCTTCAGTTGCTTTCCTGATACAGAGATCAGTGTGGCGCTTTGCACACATTTTGTAGAATTACACTCCGTCTCCAAAATGATCTCACAGCTGATCAAGGTTGGGGAGTGAAGTCACGCCAACCCCGGCCCCAGCCGCAAATATCCCAGGAGACACCACTGTCTGTGGAGGTGGAGCTTTGATTTATAGAACCAATGCAGCGTGAGTAAGTCACAGGGCAGGTCCAGGAGGGAATAATAATTTCACGCTTTTACCCAACTTCATCAACAGAGCCACAAATTAAACAAGGTTAATAAAATAAAATAAATGCCTCATTTGAAAGACCATGTGACTCTCTCCTTGGAAAAAGGGACACCATTACTTCGATTACTAGGGCCTAGTGTTGTAAACCATTAGCTATACTGAACCAACAACACACTTAAGCTACATGAATATCCAATTGATGATTAAACCAGGGGAATGGATTAGGCTTCGGGATGCTTAGCAAGAAATGTCACCGATATAATGACCCAGAGAAGAGAGAGACTTACCAACAACATCCAGCTGGTAAGTGTGGTTGATGCTTCCATGTTGGTTTTCTACTACACAGGTGTAGTTCCCCTTGTCGGATGGCACTACAGACTCCATGATGATGGTCCACATGTGTTCTCGAACCTACAAATTGGAGAAGAGAAAGGTTAAATATTTAGTCAGAGGAGGAAGTATGGAAGGCACTTGAAGATGACAGCTGGTCCAACCAAAGCCCCATACTTTCACAAGACATCCTATCAATACTATAAAACGCGAGAGACTTGTTTAGATTATAAAAACGGTGGTAAAGCCAGCCTGATTCATAAGTTCATTTCTAGAATGATTATTTTCTCTGACATTGGGATTTACATAACCGTTCAAGAGCACATTTCATTTGTCGTGCTGCTAGTTAATATTGCCCCATTTCGTACAAATAACTAATGAGTTCAATGATGTGTAATGAAATGCAGATCAAAAGATAATATTTTCTTTCTATTTTAACATCCATGAGAAGGATGAGGAACTTTCTATCAGGAGACTATTTCCCATGTTGTATAAAACTATTGTGGTCCATTGCTTGAGGAACAGTACATGAATGCACTCTTGGAAGCATATTGAGGCAGGGAAACTGTTTCTTGGTGGTTACATGATGTGTATGTCACAACCTGTTTCGGGAAAAACTATGGTTGACTACAGTCAGGTTACAGCCCATGTACATCTAAGGCTAAATCCTGTTCTCTATATTCCAAGTTATAATTGTTCTTCCATAAATCTGCCAAGACCGGCAGTGTGTGATTAAACTCAAACAAACCTCTCAGACAATGGCAACATCAAACGTGCGTACACGCAGACCCTCCATTACGCTTTCCCTCATTTAGCTAAAATGTACTGGGGTTCTACAGCTGCTTCTGGCCAGATGTGTTGTGCTTGGGTTAATGCATGTGGTCTGCATTATTTCCTCCTGCCGTCTCCATACATTAAGAATATACATTAAGCCCCGTTCATAGACGACCCCAGCCTCCCATCTAGACCTCTGCACCTTGACTGAAAAAACAGCAGCCAGATGGTAAAGCTGGGCCGGGGGAGAGAAGGCAGGCAGCTGATAGAAAACTCCTTAATGTGTCCCGGCTGGGGGGGGGCTGCCGAGGACAAGGCTGGACAACACCTTGATGGGAAGAGCAGATGAACAGGATCCTGGCCCCCTACAACATCCCAGCACATCCTAAACCACGTGAGGCTGTCGCAAGCCAACACACAACCATCCACACTGCAGTGTGGATATGGTCAACTTTAGAAGCCAAGCCCACAGTATACAGATGCTATCTGCATCAGGGAAAAGATAAGTAAACGGACTCATCACCACCACGCCCATTACTGTGAACTGTATACACAGTCTCACTTCCTCTGTGACAGTGAGCTGTCCTGTTCTGCTCCCCAACACAGAGATGGAAGGAAAACTGCCTAATGTCAATTGAATCAGTCATGTTGTCAAAGGGCATCAAATTGGAGAGAAAAAAGCCCTTAATTGATGTGAAATGGATTTAACTGAAATCTGCAGTATTTATCCTGTCTCCTCCATGAAAAACAAATGAAATTGAGTTTCCTTTTTGAGAAGTTGGTTTTGCTATACGCAGATATATCTTGACGGAAAACAAACACATTAAACAGCTGCTACCTAGATGCATTAAATGAGGTACAGTGCCTTGCAAAATAATTCATCCCCCTTGGCTATTTTTCCTATTTTGTTGCATTACAACCTGTAATTTAAATTAGTTTTTATTTGGATTTCTTGTAATGGACATACACAAAATAGTGGTGAAGTGAAAGGAAAAAAATAACTTGTTTCCAAAAAGTATAAAAAATAAATAACGGAAAAGTGGTGCGTGCATATGTATTCACCCCCTTCACTATGAAGCCCCTAAATAAGATCTGGTGCAACCAATTACCTTCAGAAGTCACATAATTAGTTAAATAAAGTCCACCTGTGTGCAATCTAAATGTCACATGATCTGTCACATGATCTCAGTATATATACACCTGTTCTGAAAGGCCCCAGAGTCTGCAACACCACTAAGCAAGGGGCACCACCAAACAAGCGGCACCATGAAGACCAAGGAGCTCTCCAAACATGTCAGGGACAAAGTTGTGGAGAAGTACAGATCAGGGTTGGGTTATAAAAAATATCAGAAACTTTGAACATCCCACGGAGCACCATTAAATCCATTATTAAAAAAATTGAAAGAATATGGCACCACAACAAACCTGCCAAGAGAGGGTTGCCAACCAAAACTCACGGACCAGGCAAGGATGGCATTAATCAGAGAGGCAACAAAGTGACCAAAGATAACCCTGAAGGAGCTGTAAAGCTCCACAGCAGAGATTGGAGTATCTGCCCATAGGACCACTTTAAGCCGCACACTCCACAGAGCTGGGCTTTACAGAAGAGTGGCCAGAAAAAAGCCATTGCTTAAAGAAAAATTAAACAAACACGTTTGGTGTTCGCCAAAAGCCATGTGGGAGACTCCCCAAACATATGGAAGAAGTTACTCTGGTCAGATCAGACTAAAATTGAGCTTTTTGGCTATCATGGAAAACGCTATGTCTGGCGCAAACCCAACACCTCTCATCACCCAGAGAACACCATCCCCACAGTGAAGCATGGTGGTGGCAGCATCATGCTGTGGGTATGTTTTTCATCGGCAGGGACTGGGAAACTGGTCAGAATTGAAGGAATGATGGATGGCGCTAAATACAGGGAAATTCTTGAGGGAAACCTGTTTCAGTCTTCCAGAGATTTGAGACTGGGACGGAGGTTCACCTTCCAGCAGGACAATGTCCCTAAGCATACTGCTAAAGCAACACTCGAGTGGTTTAAGGGGAAACATTTAAATGTATTGGAATGGCCTAGTCAAAGCCCAGACCTCAATCCAATTGAGAATCTGTGGTATGACTTAAAGATTGCTGTACACCAGCGGAACCCATCCAACTTGAAGGAGCTGGAGCAGTTTTGCCTTGAAGAATGGGCAAAAATCCCAGTGGCTAGATGTGCCAAGCTTATAGAGACATACCCCCAAGAGACTTGCAGCTGTAATGGCTAAAAGGTGGCTCTACAAAGTATTGACTTTGGGGGGGGGGGGGTGAATAGTTATGCACGCTCAAGTTCTGTTTTTTTGTCTTATTTCTTGTTTGTTTCACAAAAAAAAATGTTTTGCATCTTCAAAGTGGTAGGCATGTTGTGTAAATCAAATGATTCAAACCCCCCCAAAAAATCCATTTTAATTCGAGGTTGTAAGGCAACAAAATAGGAAAAATGCCAAGGGGGGTGAATACTTTCGCAAGCCACAGTAAGCCAGGCGTATCCTGCCTCTTAAAGGAGGGCTAAAATTGCTATCCTCAAGGAATTATTTTTGTGGCACAATCATCCCTTTGTGGCATTGGATTTCACCTTGCATTGTTCCCCAGTTAGGTGTGAACCTAGCTCCTGCTTTCCTCTAGCTATCAGGCCTCTAATGCTGGGGGGTGGGGGTTGGTGATCTAAAAGTGATGATATCACCATCACATCTGCACTCATGGTCAAGGAGTTTGGGGATATTGAATTAGGATCAATGTATAGTATGGTTTTTGGGCAGTCTAGTACCAAGGGGTGAATTCAGGGAGGGGGTTTACCTTGAAGCCCCCGATGCGCTGATCCCTCTTGAATTCCTTTCCGTTCTTGAACCACTTGAGTGTTGGGGTGGGGTTCCCACTGGCCTGGCAGCGGAACTTGACCGTCTTACTGGCTGGGACAGCATGCAACTTTTTCTCCATCTTCTCTGGCTGAGCCCACTGAGGGGCCATTGCTGAGGAACAAGGGAGAGAAAGACAGAAAAGTTAAACACCTCTTCTGACAAAAATTGACAAATTGTGTGTGCAGGTAGTTTCCACCAGGCTTAGGAGTATTTCATAAAACCACAAAAACAGTTCAAGTCAAGACCATTTTCTGTAAAAAACAAACAAAAAAAAACATCAAAAAAACAATACAAAACTCCAGTATAGGATTGACTAGTCTCCTGGGGCCCAAGATCATCATCGGGGTGACCACCACACTAGCTGCTTACTTGTCCGTGGGCCCAAGGCAGTCACCAGATGCCAGCTGACCACGCCTGACTGGTTTTATAATGCCCCATAGACTCAAACACTAAATCAGGGGACGTCTGGAATGGACCGAGGTGAGTCACTAGTGTGACATTTCTTACTCAAGTGTAACCACCACTGTGGGCTGCTATTGTTCCTCAATCACAACTGTGGACAAATCACTCTTAGATGAACAGCAAACACGCCTAATAGGTGAATCACACATGAATTGTAGCTGAGACTGGAAATAACCAAATTAGTTAGGGCTTTGTTATGTTAAGCTTAAGAATCTGGTCCAAGCTCTGTTCTACCATTCCAAGGAAACAGCAATGGTGACAGGTGGTAGGACTAGGAGGATGAGACACTTACGCAAAAGCTTTTGACTGCTAGACAGCTTTGCCTCCTCTGAGGAAGACTCATCCTCCTCGTCTTCATCTTCAGAGGATGCCAGGATATCAACTGGTGAATAGGAAGAGAGGACAAATATGTCATAGGACTTGGGCTTCCCTGCATTGATATACCTTTAACTGTTTCTCTCTACGGGACCAGTGATTTGAGCACTCAGTGGTAGCTTTGTATATTTAACCTTACCTGTGACATTGACAGAGAAGTAAGAGCTGTGGTTGCCAAAGGTGACGCAGGTGTACAGGCCCGAGTCAGCCGGCTCCACCCCCTCGATCTCCAGTTGGCCGTCTCGTAAACGTGTGTGCTCCCCATCAACCACCACTGCATCGTCCTTGGTCCAGTTGACTGACTCCTTATTGTTACATTTCAGCTCCAGTCGGTCCCCAGGGTACAGGGTGTAAAGCTCCGCTTGGATTTTCACAGGTGGTGCAGGGACGACTAGGGGAAAAAACAGGGCATAGTGAGGGCTAAGTACCTTCCTGTACAGTAGTATACATGAAAGAAATGCAGGCACGCTCCTACTAACACAATGGCTTTAAAGGGATACTTCGGGATGTTGGCAATGAGGCCCTTTATCTACTTCCCCAGAGTCAGATGAATTTGTGGATACCATTTTTGTCTCCACGTGTTGCCAACTAGCGCTAGTGCAATTGCTAACTAGCGTTAGCGCAATGACGAAGTCTATGGGTACCTGCTAGCAGATACCCATAGACTGCCATTAATTATGCTAACGCTAGTTAGCAGTGGCTCGCGAAACTACCTCTAACTTCCTTCATACTGGACACAGAGGCATAAAAATGGTATCCATGATTTCATCTGAATTAGATAAATTATTGGGGAATTAGATAAAGACTCATTGCCAAAATTCCGAAGTATCCCTTTAATCACTGGGCAGATAGGAAAACTACAGACAGAATAAATGGTTAATATGATACTGGGAGATGCATATCAAAATGTATGCAACTGTATACAGCAGGAGACAGATTATATAATATCTACAACATAACCAGTCTTGAGAAAATGTATTGAGGAAAAAAGTACAAAAATCTAAATAGTGCATATAGCTCATATCTGACATTGGGTAAATGTACAGAAAATTCTCATACTGTGATGCAACCATCTATGTTCTAATCAAATTTACTGATAAAAAGGCATATGTCAGAGGTTTACACTTAATCTTGTGCCCAGATACAGTTGAAGTCAGAAGTTTACATACACCTTAGCCAAATACATTTAAACTCAGATTTTCACAATTCCTGACATTAATCCTAGTAAAAATTCCCTGTCTTAGGTCAGTTAGGATCACCACTTTATTTTAAGAATGTGAAATGTTAGAATAATAGTAGAGAGAATTATTTATGTCAGCTTTTATTTCTTTCATCACATTCCCAGTGGGTCAGAAGTTTACATACACTCAATTAGTATTTGGTAGCATTGCCTTTAAATTGTTTAACTTGGGTCAAACGTTTCAGGTAGCCTTCCACAAGCTTCCCACAATAAGTTGGGTGAATTTTGGCCCATTCCTCCTGACAGAGCTGGTGTACCTGAGTCAGGTTTGTAGGCCTCCTTGCTCGCAAACGCTTTTTCAGTTCTGACCACACATTTTCTATAGGATTGAGGTCTGGGCGTTGTGATGGCCACTCCAATACCTTGACTTTGTTGTCCTGAAGCCATTTTGCCACAACTTTGGAAGTATGCTTGGGGTCATTGTCCATTTGGAAGACCCATCTGCGACCAAGCTTGAACTTCCTGACTGATGTCTTGAGATGTTGCTTCAATATATCCACATGATGCCATCTATTTTGTGAAGTGCACCAGTCCCTCCTGCAGCAAAGCACCCCCACAGCATGATGCTGCCACCCCCGTGCTTCACGGTTGGGATGGTGTTTTTCGGTTTGCAAGCTCCCCCTTTTCCCTCCAAACATAACGATGGTCATTATGGCCCAAACAGTTCTATTTTTGTTTCATCAGACCAGAGGACATTTCTCCAAAAAGTACAATCTTTGTCCCCATGTGCAGTTGCAAACCGTAGTCTGGCATTTTTATGGCGGTTTTGGAGTAGTGGCTTCTTCCTTGCTGAGCAGCCTTTCAGGTTATGTCGATATAGGACTCGTTTTACTGTGGATATAGATACTTTTGTACCCGTTTCCTCCAGCATCTTCACAAGGTCCTTTGCTGTTGTTCTGGGATTGATTTGCACTTTTCGCACCCAAGTACATTCATCTCTAGGAGACAGAACGCGTCTCCTTCCTGAGCGGTATGACGGCTGCGTGGTCCCATGGTGTTAATCCTTGCGTACTATTGTTTGTACAAATGAACGTGGTACCGTCAGGCATTTGGAAATTGCTCCCAAGGATGAACCAGACTTGTGGAGGTCTACAATTCTTTTTCTGAGGTCTTTTCTGATTTTGTTTGATTTTCCCATGATGTCAAGCAAAGAGACACTGAGTTTGAAGGTAGGCCTTGAAATACATCCACAGGTACACCTCCAATTGATTCAAATGATGTCAATTAGCCTATCAGAAGCTTCTAAAGCCATGACATCATTTTCTGGAATTTACCAAGCTGTTTAAAGGCACAGTCAACTTAGTGTATGTAAACTTCTGACCCACTGGAATTGTGATACAGTGAATTATAAGTGAAATAATCTGTCTGTAAACAATTGTTGGAAAAATTACTTGTGTCATGCACAAGGTAGATGTCCTAACCGACTTGCCAAAACTATAGTTTGTTAACAAGAGTGGTTGAAAAAACGAGTTTTAATGACTCCAACCTAAGTGTATGTAAACTTCCGACTTCAACTGTATATGAGAAAGGAATCACAAAGACAAGGGAGCAGCTCTTTCCTCGATGTCCCTGAAAGTACCATCATCCACATTCACACACGGTTTATTGAATCCAAGCCCTTGTTTGAGTTTGCAGAGCTGAAAATCGAGCTGCAGCCTCTTACCTTCTCCACCCAATCCCGGTCTATCCTCTCCATTAAATTTAATCGCACCCCAAATTAGTCAAGGGCCAATCGTCAGGCTGGCAAGGAGCTCCTTGGGAGAGGAAGGTGGAATTATACTAGAAGAATGGGGAGGAGGCGAGCTAGCCACAGAGCTAGACACCGGAGCCGCGTTTTCTATGACTACATAGACGACCAGGGGAAGGGGGTAAAACAATTATGTTGACATCTTGTCCATCAAGCTAAACTTGCCTGGGAGTCTATGGGGACATTTATCTGTTCCAGACGCTGGAAAAGCATTAGAGGACAACGTGGTCTATATCTTAGCTATAAGATAAGGACTGGGCTATACGGTGAAAAAGCCATCTTTGCCTTTTCCAAGTGGTAATGTCTGGCACAAACACTTGTCACAATACATTTTCTGCATCCTTTGCAGAAAGAAACGATTGTTACAAATTGCAATATTACTTTGGATGATATTATATTGATACTTGACTCCAAGTATCGATTTGCTATGTACACCTAGTGTTAGATAGCGCTAGTCATCTGTACCTAACCAGTCAGGCTTCAAGACGGGGTCAATCAACTGAGACTGCTCTTCTCTGTGTCATGGAAGCTCTCCGCACTGCCAAAGCTGACTCACTCTCCTCTGTTCTCATCCTCCTAGATCTATCCGCTGCCTTCGACACCATGAACCATCAGATCCTCCTCTCCACCCTCTCAGGGCTGGGCGTCTCAGGCTCTGTAGACTCTTGGATTGCATCCTACCTGGCAGGCCGTCCTACCAGGTGAAGTGGAGAGGATCTATGTCTGCACCACGTACTCGCACTACTGGTGTCCCCCAGGGCACCACCTCAAGCTCAAGACGGAACTGCTCTTCCTCCCGGGGAAGGCCTGCCCGCTCAAAGACCTCTCCATCACAGTTGACAACTCCACAGTGTCGCCTTCCCAGAGTGCAAAGAATCTTGGCGTGACCCTGGACAACACCCTGTCCTTCTCTGCAAACATCAAAGCAGTGACCCGCTCCTGCAGGTTCATGCTCAGCAAAATCCGTAGAGTACGACCCTATCTCACACAGGAAGCGATGCAGGTCCTAATCCAGCCACTTGTTCTCTCGCGTCTGGACTACTGCAACTCGCTGTTGGCTGGGCTTCCCGCTTGTGCCATCAAACCCCTGCAACTTATCCAGAACGCTGCAGCCATTCTGGTTTTCAACCTTCCCAAGTTCTCTCATGTCACCCCGCTCCTACGCACACTCCACTGGCTTCCAGTTGAAGCTCACATCCACTACAAGACCATGGTGCTTACCTACGGAACAGCAAGAGGAACTGCCCCTCCCTACCTTCAGGCTATGCTCAAACCCTACACCCCAACCCGAGCACTCCGTTCTCCCACCTCAGGTATCTTGGCCCTCCCACACCTAAGGGAGGGCAGCTCCCGCTCAGCCCAGTCCAAGCTCTCCTCTGTCCAGGCACCCCAATGGTGGAAACAGCTTCCCCCTGAAGCTAGGACAGCAGAGTCCCTGCCCATCTTCCGAAAAAAATCTGAAACCCTACCTCTTCAGACAGTATCTTAAATAATCCTCCTCCTCACCTCAACACCCCCTTCTATAACTTAACCAGCACCTGACGACCCCCTCCCCCCTCCCCTTCTAGCGCGGGCTCTACTGACAGCTACATTATTGAGGAATAATGTACTTTCTATGCCTGTGATACGTGGTTGTCCCACCTAGCTATCTTAAGATAAATGCACTAACTGTAAGTCGCTCTGGATGAGAGAGTCTGCTAAATTACTCAACTGTAAATGTACCTGCGCCAAAACTCTGGTATTTTTCATCCTATAGCTTGTTCTTAAAGAAGTGAGCCAACATGTTTTCAGCACTTTTATTTCTTGACTGAGCAAAACAAATTCTCATGCTCTCGTCTCAATAGAGTACCACAGTATGAGTCATAATACCCATAAAACCTAGCGGTCAAACAGGGAAATGGTTCAATTAGTTTTTCCACCATACATTTTTCCCATAGGAGATTTTAGAAACACATAAAATAAGGGCTGTGTTTCGTGTAGGCTTACCCTTCCGCCACATTTTGATAACCGCATAAATCTCTCGTACAAGGTGACTTTTTCCTATATACAGTACCAATCAAAAGTTTGGACACACCTACTCATTCAAGGTTTTTTCTTTCTTTTTACATTGTAGAATAATAGTGAAGAGATCAAAAATATGAAATAACACATATGGAATCATGTAGTAACCAAAAACAAATCAAACTATATTTTATATTTGAGATTCTTCAAAGTAGCCACCCTTTGCCTTGATGACAGCTTTGCACACTCTTGGCATTCTCTCAACCAGCTTCATGAGGAATGCTTTTCCAACAGTCTTGAAGGAGTTCCCACATATGCTGAGCACTTGTTGGCTGCTTTTCCTTCACTCTGCGGTCCGACTCATCTCAAACCATCTCTATTGGGTTGAGGTTGTGTGATTGTGGAGGCCAGGTCCACTGATGCAGAACTCCATCACTCTCCTTGGTCAAATAGCCCTTACACAGCCTGGAGGTGTGTTTTGGGTCATTGTCCTGTTGAAAAACAAATGACAGTCCCACTAAGCGCAAACCAGATGGGATGGCGTATCTCTGCAGAATGCTGTGGTAGCCATGCTGGTTAAGTGTGCCTTGAATTCTAAATAAATCACAGACAGTGTCACCAGCAAAGCACCCCCACACATCACTCCTCCTCCATGCTTCACGGTGGGAACTACACATGCGGAGATCGTCCATTCACCCACACCACGTCTCACAAAGACAGAGCGGTTGGAACCAAAAATCTCCAATTTGGACTTCAGACCAAAGGACACCACTGGTCTAATGTCCATGCTTCACGGTGGGAACCACACATGCGGAGATCATCTGTTCACCTGCTCTGCGTCTCACAAAGACACGGCAGTTGGAACCAAAAATCTCAAATTTGGACTCATCAGATCAAATGACAGATTTCCACCAGTCTAATGTCCATTGCTCGTGTTTCTTGGCCCAAGCAAGTCTCTTCTTATTATTGGTGTCATTTAGTAGTGCTTTCTCACACAGTCTCCTCTGAACAGTTGATGTTGAGATGTCTGTTACTTGTACTCTGTGAAGCATTTATTTGTGCTGCAATCTGAGGTGCAGTTAACTCTAATGAATTTATCCTCTGCAGCAGAGGTAACTCTCGGTCTTCCATTCCTGTGGCGGTCCTCATGAGAGCCAGTTTCATCATAGCGCTTGATGGTTTTTGCGACTGCACTTGAAGAAACTTTCAAAGTAATTGACATTTTCAGTATTGACTGTCCTTCATGTCTTAAAGTAATGATGGACTATCGTTTCTCTTTGCTTATTTGAGCTGTTCTTGCCATAATATGGACTTGGTCTTTTACCAAATAGGGCCATCTTCTGTATACCCCCCCCCCCCCTCCCTACCCTTGTCACAACACAACTGATTGGCTCAAACGCATTAAGGAAAATAATTCCACAAATTAACTTTTAACAAGGCACACCTGTTATTTGAAATGAATTCCAGGTGACTACCTCAGGAAGCTGGTTTGAGAGAATGCCAAGTGTGTGCAAAGCGTCCTCCAGGCGAAGGGTGGCATTTGGAAGAATCTCAAATCTAACATAGATTTAGATGCGTTTAAACTTTTTTTGGCTTACTAATGATTCCGTATTGTGTCATTCATAGTTTGAGTCTTCACTATTATTTAACAATGTAGAAAATAGTAAAAATAAAGAAAAACCCTTGAATGAGTTGGTGTGTCCACACTTTTGACTGGTAGTGTATATTCGGCTTATCATGACACCTCCACTGTGGGGCTCTATGTAGCAGAAATATAGTGAGCGGTGTGTTTAGAACATCTCATCGCAATACGTATAGAATCGCGACAATCACAATACATATTGTATCGACCCTTAAGTAGCATGATAATATCGTATTGTGAGTTCCCTGGCAATTGCTAGCCCTAATCCTTTGCCATTCTCATTACTCCTCTGTCACAACTACAGTATATGTGTATCTCACGTACCTAGATCCTTGTTGATCCTTGATGGATTATAATCCATACACTCCAAACCTTTTCAAATCTAATTTTATTAGTCACATATTTCGTAAACAACAGGTGCGGCCTAACAGTGATATGCTTACTTACGGGCCCTTCCCAACAATGCAGAGAGTAAAGAAAATAGAGAAATAATTGAAAAGTAAAACACGTAATAATAAAAGTAATAGATACACAATGAGTAACAATAACTTGGCTATACACAAGGGGTATGAGTACCGAGTCGATGTGCAGGCGTACCAGGTAATTGAGGTAGATATGTACATATAACTAGGAATAAAGTGACAAATAGTAAAGAGTAGCAGCATCGTGTGATGAGTCAAAAAAAGTTGCAAAAAGGGTAAATGTTTACAAGAACATGGAATCCCAAATTCATCTAGACATAATCTGAAGATAGCCTACAGGTTGATGTTAGTAGCTATACATGGTTATAGCATATACAGGAAAGATCGAAATCAAATCAAACGTTATTTGTCACATTCGCCGAACACAACAGGTGTAGACCTTACAGTGAAATGATTACTTACAAGACCTAAACAAAAATGCAGTTTTAAGAGAAAGAAGTGTTATGTAAACAATAGATAATAAAAAAATAAAAGCAGTAAAATAACAGTAAATAACAGTAAACATGCAGGGCTGAGGGTTGCTATGGGAAAAAAAGTGTAGTCCACAACATTCCCCACTTAAAAGTGAAAGCCTGATTTTATCATGTCATCAAAATGCAGACAAAATTCAGAAAATAATTGTAGAAATGAATTGCAAATTATGGTGAAATATATTGGTATAAAAAGGTCAAAATTGTTTAACAATGACTAAGGTAAACATTTCTGTAAGTCTTCAAATACACAATGTTGTGTAACTCCAGATAACCTCTAGACAGTGATGTTGTGGGGCTGTAACAGTCCCCCAAGATTTTATATGGGGTTGAGATCTGGAGACTGGCTAGGCCACTCCAGGACCTTGAAATGCTTCTTACGAAGCCACTCCTTCGTTGCCCAGGCAGTGTGTTTGGGATCATTGTCATGCTGAAAGACCAAGCCACGTTTCATCTTCAATGCCCTTGCTGATGGAAGGAGGTTTTCACTCAAAATCTCACGATACATGGCCCCATTCATTCTTTCCTTTACACGGATCAGTCGTCCTGGTCCCTTTGCAGAAAAACAGCCCCAAAGCATGATGTTTCCACCCCCATGCTTCACAATAGGTATGGTGTTCTTTGGATGCAACTCAGCATTCTTTGTCCTCCAAACACGACGAGTTGAGTTTTTACCAAAAAGTTATATTTTGGTTTCATCTGACCATATGACATTCTCCCAATCCTCTTCTGGATCATCCAAATGCACTCTAGCAAACTTCAGACGGGCCTGGACATGTACTGGCTTAAGCAGGGGGACACGTCTCGCACTGCAGGATTTGAGTCCCTGGCGGCGTAGTGTGTTACTGATGGTAGGCTTTGTTACTTTGGTCCCAGCTCTCTGCAGGTCATTCACTAGGTCCCCCCGTGTGGTTCTGGGATTTTTGCTCACCGTTCTTGTGATCATTTTGCCCGACGGGGTGAGATCTTGCGTGGAGCCCCAGATCGAGGGAGATTATCAGTGGCCTTGTATGTCTTCCATTTCCTAATAATTGCTCCCACAGTTGATTTCTTCAAACCAAGCTGCTTACCTATTGCAGATTCAGTCTTCCCAGCCTGGTGCAGGTCTACAATTTTGTTTCTGGTGTCCTTTGACAGCTCTTTGGTCTTGGCCATAGTGGAGTTTGGAGTGTGACTGTTTGAGGTTGTGGACAGGTGTCTTTTATACTGATAACAAGTTCATACTGGTGCCATTAATACAGGTAACGAGTGGAGGACAGAGGAGCCTCTTAAAGAAGAAGTTACAGGTCTGTGAGAGCCAGAAATCTTGCTTGTTTGTAGGTGACCAAATACTTATTTTCCACCATAATTTGCAAATAAATTCATTAAAAATCCTACAATGTGATTTTCTGGATTTTTGGTAGGGAAAATTGCTTTCATCAGTGATTACAAACACTAAATACTTTTTTTTTACACGTGTACAAAACATTAAAAACTTTCCAGGTGAAAGCATGATCCCTTATTCAGGTCCAGCGTGTTCAAAAATCCACTTAAATCAGTGTAGATGAAGGGGAGGAAACAGGTTAAAGAAGGATTTTTAAGCCTTGAGAAAAGTGAGACATGGATTGTGTGTGTGCCATTCAGAGGGTAAAAGGGCAAGACAAAATATTTAAGTGCCTTTGAACAGGGTATTGTAGTAGGTGCCAGGCGCACCGGTTTGTGTTGAGAACTGCAACACTACTGGGTTTTTTACGCTCAACAGTTTCCTGTGTGTGTCAAGAATGGTCCACCACCCAAAGGACATCCAGCCAACTTGACAACTGTGTGAAGCATTGGAGTCAACATTCGACACCTTACAGAGTCCATGCCCCAATGAAGTAAGGCTGTTCTGAGGACAAAAGGGGGATGCAACTCAATATTAGGAAGGTGCTCTTAATGTTTTGTACACTCTGTGCATGTTCAGAGTATTCCTATTAGGCTGAGAGAGGATCTCATGTCAGATGATATGGAAGTAATATGGCTAGAGGTTCATCTGCCTCACCTAAAGCCTATTCTCGTAGGAAGTTGCTATAGACCACGGAGTGCTAAAAGTTTGTATTTCGACTATGTGTGTGAAATGGTCAATAATAATATCAACAGAGGTATATTTTCTGGGTGACCTAAATATTGACTGGTTGTCATCAAGCTGTCCACTCAAAAAGAAGCTTCAAGCTATAACTGATGCCTGCAATCTGGTTCACGCTATCAGTCAACCTACCAGGGTATTTACAAACAGAACAGGAACTAAATCATCTGTGTATTGACCACATCTTTACTAATGCGGCAGAAATCTGCTCTAAAGCAGTATCCACACCCATCGGATGTAGTGATCATAATATAATAGCTGTATATAGAAAAAACAAAGTTACAAAGACTGGACCTAAAATTGTGTATAAGCGATCATACAAGAGGTTTTCAAGAGGTTTTTCAATGATTTCTATGTCAAAGATGTGAAAAATATTTGTTGGTCTGATGTGTGTAATGAGGAACAACCTGATGCCACACTTGAAGTATTTATGAAATCATGTTTGACCAAATACAATGTTATTTTACAGAAAACTCATTAACAGACTTTCAGCATGCTTATAAGGAAGGGCACTCAACATGCTCAGCACTGACACAAATGACTAATGACTGGCTGAAAGAAATTGATAAGAAGATTATGGGAGCTGTTTTGTTAGATTTCAGTGCAGCTTTTGATATCATTGATCATAACCTATTGCTGAAAAAACGTAGGTGTTATGGACTTACATCCTCTGCCTTACTATGGATTGAGAGTTACCCATCTAATAGAACAGAGGGTTTTCTTTAATTGAAGCCTCTCTAATGCAAATTAGGTTGAGTGTGTTGTACCGCAGGGCAGCCGGCTTGGGCCAATATTGTTTTTTGTTTTTACTAATGACCTTCCACTGACCTTGAATAAAACCTGTGTGTCTATGTACGCTGAGGACTCAACTTTATACACATCAGCTACAACAGTAAAATAAATAACTGACACCCTTAACATAGAGCTCCAGTCAGTTTTAGAATGGGTAACTAGCAATAGGCTGTTGCTAAATATCTCAAACTAAAAGCATTGTTTTTGGGACAAATCACTCACTCCACCCTAAACCTCATTTAGATATATTACTGAATAATGTTGCAACTAAGCAAGTTGAGGAGACTAAACTGCTGGGTGTAACCCTGTCATGGTCAAAACGTATAGACTCAATGGGAAGTGGTCCGTCCACGATAAGGCGTTGCTCTGCTTTCGTGACATCTAAAATCAACCAGGCATGTCCTACAGGCCCCAATTTTGTCGCACCTGGACTACTGCCCAGTTGTACTGTCATGTGCAACAAAGAAGGACATAGGAAAATTGCAGTTGGTCCAGAACAGAGCAGCACGTACTGCACTTACAGTGCCTTCAGAAAGTGGTCACACCCCTCGACTTTTTCCACATTTTGTTATGTGTTACAGCCTGAATTTAAATTGATTGAATTTAGATTTTTTGTCACTACACACAATACCCCATAACGTCAAAATGGAATTATGTTTTTTCGAATTTTTTACAAATTAATAATTTTTTTTTTAGCTGAAATGTCTTGAGCCCATACATATTCAACCCCTTTGTTATGGCAAGCATGAATAAGTTCAGCAGTAAAAATGTGCTTAACAACAAGTCACATAAGTTGGACTCACTCTGTGTGCAATAATCGTTTTTAACAAATGACATTGAATATCACTTTGAGCATGGTGAAGTTATTAATTAAACTTTAGATGGTGTATCAATACACCAAGTCACTACAAAGATACAGGCGTCCTTCCTAACTCAGTTGCCAGAGAGGAAGGAAACCGCTCAAGATTTCAGCAACAGGCCAATAGTGACTTTAAAACAGTTACAGAATGTAATGGCTGTGATAGGAGAAGACTGAGGATGGATCAACATTGAAGTTACTCCACAATACTAACCTAATTGAAAAGAAGGAAGCCTGTACAGAACAAACATTCTAAAACATGTATCCTGTTTGCAACAAGGCACTAAAGTAACACTGCAAAAAATGTGGCAAAGCAATACACTTTTTGTCCCGAATACAAAGTGTTATATTTGGAGCAAATCCAATTCAACACATTACTGAGTACCACTCTCCATATTTTCAAGCATAGTGGTGGCTGAATCATGTTATGGGTATGCTTGTAATCGTTAAGGACTGGGGTGTTTTTCAGGATAAAAATAAAATGGAATGGAGCTAAGCACAGGCAAAATCCTAGAGGAAAACCTGGTTCAGTCTGCTTTCCACCAGACACTGGGAGATTAATTCACCTTTCAGCAAGACAATAACCTAAAACACAAGGCCAAATCTACACTGGAGTTGCTTACCAAGAAGATAGTGAATGTTCCTGAGTGGCCAAGTTACAGTTTTGACTTAAATCTCCTTGAAAATGTACAGCAAGACTTGAAAATGATTGTCTAGCAGTGATCAACAACCAATTTGACAGAGCTTGAATAATTTTGAAAGGAAAAATTGGCAAATATTGTACAATTCAGGTGAGCAAAGCTCTTAGAGACTTACCCAGAAAGACTCACAGCTGTAAATGCTGCCAAAAGGTTACTCTAACATGTATTGACTCAGGTGTAAATTAGATATTTCTGTATTTCATTTTCAAGAAATATGAAAACATTTCTAAAAACATGTTTTCACTTTGTCATTATGGGGTATTGTGTGTAAAATCTATTTAATCCATTTTGAATTCAGGCTGTAACAACAAAATGTGGAATAAGTCAATACTTTGAAGGCACTGTAGGTGTACACGGAGGGCGAATGTCAGTGGTATGCATGTCAATATCTCCTGGCTCAAAGTTGAGGAGAGATTGACTGCATCACTATTGGTCTTTGTGCAAGGTGTTGATGGGTTAAAGGTACCGAACTGTCTGTTCAAGCAATTGGTACACAGTTCGGACACTCATCGGTACCACACAAGACATGCAGCCAGAGGTCTCTTCCCAGTCCCCAGGTCCAAAACAGAGGTTGGGAAACACACAGTAATTAAATATAGCCATGACTACATGGAACTCTGCCACCCCAGGTAACTCAAGCTAACAATAAAACCAGATAGAAAATGACTGGGACTGTGAAGAGACAGATATTTTTTATATATTTTGTATTGTACTTTGTATTGTGCATTGTTTATGCAGTGTTATGTATATTATTTGTTGTGTTTTGTTTCCTGTTTGGACCTCAGGAAGAGTAGCTGCTGCCTTGGCAGCGGCTAATTGGGGATACCAATAAAATACTAAATACTAATACTATGTTAAGAAACGTTTCAGTGTTGTTGAATCTACTCTCTTCCCGGGTCCAAAGAAGTCCGCTTCTTGGTACATTCATAATGAAGTGAAGACTGAACATACAGTGCATTCGGAAAGTATTCAGACCCCTTGACTTTTTCCACATTTTGTTATGTTACAGCCTTATTCTAAAATTGATTAAATCATTTTTTCCCCTCAATCAATCTACACACAATACCTCATAATGACAAAGCAAAAACAGGTTTTTAGAAATTTAGAAATAAAAAATGGAATACACATTTACATAAGTATTCAGATCCTTTACTCAGTACTTTGGTGAAGCACCTTTGGCAGCGATTTCTAAAAACCTGTTTTCACTTTGTCATTATAGGGTATTGTGTGTAGATTGATGAGGGAAAATGTGTATTTAATCAATTTTAGAATAAGGCTGTAACGTAACAAAATGTAGAAAAAGTACAGTACAATGTAACATATACTAGGCTCTTCTCCAACCAGGGAGCACACCCATACTGTATACCATACCCTCAGGACAACATTAGCAATCCTGATCACAGTAAGCCCTCCCTCCATCTCAACACAGGCTCTAAACAATAAGGGGGAGAGAGAGTACGAGAGCGAGAGAGCAAGAGCTTGTACACAAGAGAAAGGTAGAGAGAGAAAGTGAGGGCCTGCAGCAGCAGGTTCTAGTGCATGTTGCCATGGTGACCCTAGTTGGGCCTAGTAAAGGTTTTTCCTGGATCACATATGTCTGACATGCCCTTAATCCCAGCAGTAAAAAGGGGCCAGAGGGTAGGATCAACTTTCTCCTCAAAAACGGGAAGAAGCAGCAGCATTTAGGGATGGGCCACAACTATCTAATTGAGACAGGCTAAAACATAAAAGGGGTCCACCACGCTCTGTGTGGGGCCATGATCATGCTTGGGTTTTTTCCCTCCTTGCCCTCTAAAGTCTATCAAGCTGATAAGGCTATGTCAACATTCCAGCTATTAGTCTAGCTGCAGACGGCCCATAAATATCCCATTGACTTGTCGATGTTGTGGAGCAAAGTCAATCCAGTCTTATGATTACAATTGGGATCACAAACAGCAACAAGTTGCAGCATTGCCATCGCTATTGAGGAGCGATGGCAAATTGGAGAATCAAGTGGGAAGTGAAGATGCTCTAAGAACATTGAGTCAATGTCTAATTGAGGCCAACGTCTAGTTTATGTATTTACATTTACATTTTACAGTTAGTGAGTGCATACATTCTTTATTTATTATTATTATTTTTTTTTTAACTGGCCCCCTGTGGGAATCGAACCCACAACCCTGGCGATGCAAACGCCATGCTCTACCAACTGAGCTACATCCCTGCCGGCCATTCCCTCCCCTACCCTGGACGACGCTGGGCCAATTGTGCGCCGCCTCATGGGTCTCCCGGTCGCGGCCGGCTACGACAGAGCTTGGATTCGAACCAGGATCTCTAGTGGCACAGCTAGCACTGCAATGCAGTGCCTTAGACCACTGCGCCACTCGGGAGCAAGAGTCATCTAAATGTATACTCTGTCACAGTGGGACCTAAATTAACATTGTTTACAGTCATTCCATCATTATTTCCATTCATTAAGGGATATCTGTGTGTAACTAAAAATAGAGGTGACTAGATAGTCAGTCAAACCAAAGTAGTAAGCTTTCCATGAGGAAGTTGTAGTTTAGTTAATCCTTCTGCTTCCATGATTGGATTAAGATGGATTAGGGACCATATTTTCAGAAAGCAACCCAGCTGGAATAGTCCTGCTGGCATGCTTTCTTCCAACCATTTGGAAAAATGTATTGACAACCCTGAAAATCAACTTAATTACACAAAATCATGAAAGGGATTTTGTCCGAGAAGTAAGCATGCAACACAGGGATAAAAAAAAAAAAAGTGCATGAGTCTATGAGCGCAGGACTGCCTATAAAAACGGAACACATTGGCTCCAGTCTATAGAACCTGCGCTGGCTTCCAGATAGGAAGCAATATGCCGTGTGAATGACTGTTGGGATTTCCTGCTCTCGCGGAGTGATGGTTGAGTGCAGCACAGAGATCCCAGTAAAAGCAGGGAGATGGCGTAAGCAGAAATACCACTCTCTCGGTGGCCATTCTCCCCCCACTGATTTGGGGCCCCTCATGTCTAGTTCATTAGCTTCATCACATCCCTGATGTTCAGCCTGTATAATGCCTCTAACCCCCCTCTCTGTATAGTGCCTCTAACCCCCCTCTCTCTAAAGTGCCTCTAAACCCCTCTCTGTAAAGTGCCTCTAAATCCATTTACATTTACATTTTAGTCATTTAGCAGACGCTCTTATCCAGAGCGACTTACAGTTAGTGAATGCATACATGTTGTTTTTTTTCATACTGGCCCCCCGTGGGAAACAAACCCACATCCCTGCCGGCCAAACCCTCCCCTACCTTGGACGACGCTGGACCAATTGTGCGCCGCCCATGGGTCTCCCGGTCGCGGCCGGCTGCGACAGAGCCTGGACTCGAACCAGGATCTCTAGTGGCACAGCTAGCACTGCGATGCAGTGCCTTAGACCACTGCGCCACTCTCTGTAAAGTGCCTCTAAACCCCTCTCTGTAAAGTACCTCTAAACCCCTCTCTGTAAAGTGCCTCTAAACCCCTCTCTGTAAAGTGCCTCTAAACCCCTCTCTGTAAAGTGCCTCTAAACCCCTCTCTGTAAAGTACCTCTAAACCCCTCTCTGTAAAGTGCCTCTAAACCCCTCTCTGTAAAGTGCCTCTAAACCCCTCTCTGTAAAGTGCCTCTAAACCCCTCTCTGTAAAGTGCCTCTAAACCCCTCTCTGTCTGAGGAGAGTCCGAATTAGGGCGGCCTTGGCAGCTCGGGGTTTTGAGTCCTCTACTGAAGTGTCAGTGTATTTTCTGCTTTGACTGACAGTGCCACAGACCTCAGGACAGGAAGCAGATCTCACAGTCAAAGGAATTCCCTGGGAAACAGTTTTCCTACACGGCCCCACCTGTCAATGACTTGCCTCCTTTAGAGATTTATCTCCTTCTGAGGAGGGCCTTTTCAATCCAATCCTCCTCACAGAGAAACAAACCACAAACAAATACTCAAGAGTAAGCTAAAATAACACTTATTTAAAAAAACGAACTAAGCAACATACATAATAACATGACCATTTCCACTTAATAAGCAATTTTGTTTCCCACCCATGACAAAAAGGATGTGAACAAATACTTCTGCTGTGATTGTTTGTGAACAGCTGAAGTGGATCAGTCACCCAGCGGGGGAGCATGGGGAAAGTGATGCACTCCCAAGTACTGTGGAGAGGGGGGCTGGAAGAACAGCAGAGGGGGTTCTAAATAATACCTGGCCATTTGGTGATTGAAAACTGGGTAGAGAGAGACCCACCCCACCGGCAATATATCCCCCAGTCTTTCTCATTCTAGCTGTAAGAATATACACTGTTTTCTCAGAAACCCTATCTCTTCGGTTTAGGAAGGGCTCCAAGTGGACTCATGGGTGTTTCTCTTTCTTTTTTTAACAGCTTATTTATAGTTTCCTGGCAGTTAACTCGTCCCTCTGTGACAAAAAAATACCTTTTCATTACGAAGGAGAAGGAGAGGAGCAGGGACTGCTAGCTAGGTAGTGAAGCTGCCTGGGCCTGAGGCTATAGATGGGAGGCATTTACTCCCTCCCCTCGCTGTATTGGGATAAACACAGCTCTGCCTAGTTTATCTGAAAGCTTACAGCACAAGAGAGACCCTCTTTCATAATTACTCTAATTATAATGCTGGGCTTTATTATATTCCTTTTGCAGCACTCTACTTCCGACTCCTGAGTGTAAGCATCCAGAACTATCCACCCACAAGTCCAGGCAGCCATTACACTATTGGAATTCATCCAAAATACATTTTTCAGGATTCTGTTTCAGTGACCCTTTTCCTTTTTTTCAGCCGAGCTTGTGCAACTATTATGTTGCCTTTTCGTAGGCAACCTATAACATAGCTATTTCAGTTCTACAACAATATAAAATAGTAGATACTTAAAGCCATGTCAAATTAGATCCAGTTAGGCTCATTACATCTACATCATATACAGGGAATTGGGTGGGGGCTGCACTGAGACTAAATAGAGAAAAACTTAAAACACTGGAAAAGTCTCTAGATTATTGTACAACTACAGAGACCAGAGGAATAAAACCATTACAGATGGAGTGCTTGTAAAATAAAATTCCAAATGTAGAGCATTGTTTATGTTGGTAACTACATCTTCTCTAAATCCATCTACTGATGTAAATGAACAATAAAAAAGGATATCATATGGCCCAATTCAAAAGGGTCTGGGATAAGAGCCAGTCAAATATATTGTGGTTCATTTTGACCACAAAAACATGATCAGGAGAAATGTGACACACAAGAAGACATACAATTTAGGTGATGGACTGACGCCATATTTATGTCCAGGCAGGGGAGCCTTACCTTCATCTGGGATGGCAGGCCGGGCCTGGGCTGGTAAAATCTGGGCAAGCAAGGCCAGAACCACCAGCATACTCTGCACCGCCAACATCCTGTGGGGTGCGCTATAGCTGTTGACTGCTCTGTGAATAGAACTCCATCTGGACCACTGGGGCATCAGCACTGAGCCATTCACTGTGCCAAACTGGAGGAACAAAAACAAGAAGATGAAACTGTGCTCACATGTGACATGTGAAACACAAATGCAAAGTTATGATTTGAGAGCCTCGCATGAAAACCCACGAGACCTAAGCTGAGAGTTAAGCTTACCGCATGCTTCCCAGTTGAAACAGATTGCGCATATATTATGACGAAATTGTGACATTTTATTTGTTTTGGTGTTTTTTTTCCAGCTGTTCGAACACATTTTTTCTTTAGGCAAGCCAAACTCTACACCCCTTCATTGGTGATTGGGTAACAGTAGGGATTCTTCAATGAAGTGTTTGTTTTTATTAAACGACAGATGACTAGTTTTCATGCAAAAAATTTCACTTGAGAAATACTGCAAACATCTTAGTTTGATGTAAAAATGCGCGACTAAGACCTCCTCGGCAAAAACGTCAAAATTAATGACAGATTTCTTGGTTAACCTTAGATTGATACTGACTATTGAGGAACTGTTACTATATGTTGTTGCATACGGCATCTCAAGAGGGACAAACCGCAATATTGCAATTTTTTCTCTCATTTTTCAAGCGAAGGTATTTTAAGGGATTATGCAAATAAAAACAAATAAAGAGAGTCGCACACTCTACGTAAGAAACCACCAACGTTTCGGCAACACTGTGCCTTTTACAGGGCATCACTCTCTTTATTTGTTTTTATAGCTTACAGTTTATTCTCCGTTAGTCAGCACCTCTACACTAAGTGATGTTCTCTGGGTGTGCGCCAGCTCATGCTTTTTATAAGGGATTATGCGAAAACAGACGTTCACGTCGCCTAGTTGAGTTCTGCTAGGAGCAAACTGAACCTATGTATGCGGACGCCTTTAGCATGCGGAGGAAGAGTTTGAGCTTTGCTAAAAACTGAAACACTCAGCTTGATTTCTAACAAGGTCTCTGTTGCATTTAATGCAAAACGAACTTGTTATTTATGTAAAACAAACACCTAGAAAGACTAACACTGCACAATAGAGAATTATACTGAACAAAAATATAAAACGCAACATGCAACAATTTCAAAGATTTCACTGAGTTACAGTCAATTGAAATAAATTAGGCCCTAATCTATGGATTTCACAACTGGGAATACAGATAATCTCTTGATCACAGATGCCCTTTTTTTTTTTAGGTCTCACAATGGGCCTCAGGATCTCGTCACGGTATTTCTGTGCATTCAAATTGCCGTCGATAAAATGCAATTGTGTTCGTTGTCCGTAGCTTATGCCTGCCTATACCATAACCCCAATGCCACCATGGGGCATTCCGTTCACAACGTTGACATTAGCAAACTGCTCACCCACACAACGCCATACACGGTTGTGAGGCCGGTTGGACGTACTAACAAATTCTCTAAAACGACATCGGTTTATGGCAGAGAAATTAACATTCAATTCTCTGGCAACAGTGCTGGTGGACATTCCTGCAGTCAGGATGCCAATTGACGCCTCCTCAAAATTTGAGACACCTATGGCATTGTGTTGTGTGACAAAACTGCACATTTTAGAGTAGCCTTTTAATGTACACAGCACAAGGGGCACCTGTGTAATGATCATGCTGTTTAATCAGCTTTTTGATATGCCAAATCTGTCGGATGGATTATCTTGACAAAGGAGAAATGCTCACTAACAGGGATGTAAACACATTTGTGCACAACATTTGAGGGAAATAAGCTTTTTGTATGTATGGATTTTTTTTGCATGTGCAGATACTCCCTTTTTGATAAGAAAATACAAAGCATGTATCAGATTGTTCAGGTTTTACAAAACAAACAAGTAGTCAAATTGTATTAGCTAGTTCTAAAGAGAACGTTTTGTTTTCAGAACAATTAATAAACAAAGATGTACAAATTGGCATGATTTATTATCATTTTCTGTCCGTAAGTGTCACTACAGACAAACCCTAGGAGGCAAGATCCAATGATTCATTGTAAAACTTCAACAGTCGCTAATTACAGATTTAAAAAGTTCTCATACTGTTACAAAAAGTATTTCTATGCAAGAGTAGCTAAAACACCTTTCTTTACAAGCAGTAACTTTAAATAAGCTTATTCTAAAAAAGGCAACAATGAGTGCTATAAAGTCATCTTTGTTGCCATGATACAACAAGGTGGATACAATTAAGAAAAATTAAGAGAGGATACAAAAGGTGAATTCCTATAGGGATTTATGAAAGACAAGAGATAACTGGGCAGGCAGAGCTCCTGTCACATACTTACTCCCCCATGGCTGTTGATGGCAAATTGAAGCTGGGGACGTGTGTTGTATGTGGGCTCACTGCTGTGGGTGACCCTCACATGCATATCTGCTCGCCCCTACACCCTGCAGCATCTGGCCAAAGAGATTAACACTTAGCCCTCACCCCCATAATCCACCCTGAGGAATTTGTTAAGGACCCCAAAACTCAGGGCTGCTATGTGACACCCCTGTAGAGGCAGCCAAGCCATAATTTTTACACTCACAGATCTATCACCCAACAGTTGGTTTTGGCCCCAACCCCAACGCGAGCCCCAACCCCCATTTGTTCTCATCCCTGTCAAGTTGTGTGAAACAAATTATTGTTGTAGGGCGCCGGATTCTGAGAACTTGCCTAATCGTTGCATGAAAACATTAATGAAGTCTACATAATGAATACAAATGTGTCTAAAGTATCAAGCATTAAAGGACAAATATGGAAATATTAATAATCTCTGGAATTAAATCAGCAATATACGGGAGGAGAGACAGGACGCATATGTGAACAACAGTCTACATAGTTCACTGATGTAAAAGCAGGTAGGAGTGATCCAGAATCTATAGATCCAAGCAACAACAACAAAATCTATGGGAAACACCCAGCGGAGGTCAAGTCATCCCTATGAGTTAACAGACTGGCTGTCTAACAGCCAATAATGATTGGCAAAATCTGAATGGTCTTCATGAGTCTTCTCCACTTCAACATGTTCCTTGTACTGTCGTTGAAATAAATTCAATTTCCAAGAATGGCCCAGTGTTCCGGCAACTGAGTTGGATCAGATGGTCCTGGGGATAAAGGAGCTTGGTCATCACAGACCTGTAAGCAGTGAGTCAGTGCCTGGTCAGGCTCCAAGAATCCACTTCAGCTGCCAGACAGAAGGAAGTCCGCACAGCACACGGCCAACCACGTTCCCGGAGCGCTCATCACTACACAACCATTTAGACAACGTTCCATGATGAGGGAACCAATCGTGTCTTTGGAGTGTGAAATCTCATGCAACGCCCATTTTCAAGTTTGTCATGTGCAACCTGTTTTTTTTTACTGTAGGCCTATGCTAAAAACATACCGCACAAGACACACTAACGGTTAATGAATGTTTTCGGAATATTATATAATCAGAAAAACCTATCCCAAAAAAGGGATTATTGACATGAATAAACAGTATTTATCTTGTGATCCACTAGTCTCGTCAGGGACATTTTGAGAAAAGCACACAAAATGGACAAGACGTTCAGTTAATTTATTCTCACCATCTCCTACAACTACGGAGAATACTAGATACTGACTCACTTACATATCATGCATGTGCATCTGCAGCACCGCTTGACTCGTGTAAAATATCCTCATCTCATGGATGTTGTGCAACATTAGGGTTTGGAAATAAATACAGTCAAAAGAGATGTGGTCTCTGGCAGTTGAAATGAGGCCTTAAGGCTGCTAGAATACAATAACACTAATAGTAAGTAGACACTCATCCAAGTAAACAAAAACATTTTCTCTCAAACAATACATGTGGGGTCCCTGCTCATCGTGTCACATAGCCCAAATAGCCTCTACTGAACATACAATCACACTGAAACCACACTGAGTCACACTAGAGACGGTGATGAGCTGCTGGATCAACGTGTAATGCAGGTCACACAAGAGTTGTGAGTTTTGATAGAGAGAGAAATCTGAAAATTGTAAATGTTTTAGCAATCAGAATGCGAAGAGATCTGCCTTCACAAAGCATGACTAAGTCGCTTTGGAGAAAAGGGTATGCTAAATGGCATATATTATTATATTATAAAGTTGCATTTCTTTTCCTTCCCTTCTAAACATGCAGAGAGACAGACAGGGTATAAGCCCAAGCATGGCCCCATAATTACTGTTCACTGTATCCATCCATGCATAAAATTCCTTAACTCTGTTTGATTCTGTAGTCCGACCCCACTCATTTCTCCCCTCCCAGAGCCAGTCTACTGTGCAGAGACACCAAGCTCCTCTCCATGGGGGTTCATTTTAGAGGACTTACTCAGTTTGCCCATTCCACCCAGTTAAGCTGCTTTTCACAAGGCAGCAGCAGTCAGATGTGTTTCGTCTGCTTTTCACCATTATGTATGCTATTGCCCCGACTGTTGATCTGGCTGTGTTAAAATTACAAGACAGATTTTATAGCTATTTAAAACTTGTGCTTAATACGGGCTAAACGAAATACATGTTGTTTTAAACTCTCGTAAGAATGTTTCAGATGAACTACATGTTCACTCAAATGGTTCTCCAATTGAACGTTGGATTGATTTGGATTTGACGTAAAAAACATATACAGTGGGGAGCAGGGGCGGTGTGTTCATTAGGGCGATATGGGCGACGCACTGCCAAACGGGAAAAGGAAGGGATTTTTTTTCTAATCAATTATATCACGGCAACAGTAGTTTTCAGTGTTCTAATCTAGACGTCTGATCTGCCACTAAATGTCCAATCAGGCTAAAGTCGTGCTTCAAATGGCCCCGCCAGTTTTGGGGCGATTTCAGTCAGGTTGAAAATCGCCCCAGAAGTCTCTCAGACTCTCATGTAAAATCTTTTTTTTTTCAAATATCAGAGCTTTCAATACAATCTCTATGGGTTCCGGGAGGGCTTGCACTTACGCGCTTTCGTCATACGTAACATAACCATGAACATAACTAAGAAAAGAGCGGGTAGCAGCGTCAATCAATTCACGTACAACTGTCAAGATGGCTAGCGTTCAGTGCAACTCGATTGTCTCTTTGAAAGAAGTTCATTTTTGTCGGCGAACAAATCAAGATAAATTGGCAACGAAACAATTAGGACCTCCCAGACCAAATGTAATAATTCAACAGGTTTCTACTAAAGGGGGAAAGTCCTACACCCGAGGATTTTCCAAAAATTGGTACGAACGAAAAACCTGGCTAGCAGGCTGCGATGTAGCTAATGCAGTCTTCTGCTACCCCTGCTTACTCTTTCACCCTGAAGGCGGCACGGCAGACAGCACCGCTTGGACAGCGACTGGTGTAACGGACATGCACCATCTTTCAGAAAAGATTAAGAAACATGAGCTGTCAAAGACCCACATGGATAGCTGTTTGAGATTGTCTGCTTTGGGGAGAGTGAACATTGCCACTCAACTGGATGAGGGATACAGGCTAGCTGTCCGCCGCCACAACGATGAGGTTAGCAAGAACCGCCACATCCTCAGCCGGCTAATCCAGTGTGTGAAGTTTTGCGGAGTGTTTGAGTTAGCTTTGCGAGGCAAAGATGAAACTGAGGGCTCCACCAACCCTGGTATTTTTCTTGGACTTGTCAACTTTGTGGCACAATTAGATGAGGTGTTTGATGACCATCTTAAAAATGCTAAAGTTTTCAAGGGCACATCAAAGACCATTCAAAACGAGCTACTGGAGTGTATGCTAGCGGTCATGAGGGAACATATTGTGGAGGAGGTGAAGTCGGCGAACTTCGTAGCTATCCAAGCTGACGAGACCACGGACGTTTCTACACAGACACAGCTGGTGCTTGTGCTGAGGTACATAGATAGCAAGAAGATTTAATTTTTTTCCTGGGGCTTTTTCACAAAATCATGCCCCACGTCGACATTCTGTACCAGAAGCTACAGAAGAAGGACATCGATGCGGTCTTCATCAAACGTGCCCTCGACAGCTTCACAAGCAGTGTGCAGGCCATAAGGTAAGATTAAACAATATCATTCGATCTTTCTCAAATCAGAGCTTTATTTGAAAATGTATGCATGAAAGGAGACATCATCATATTTACAAATCTATACAATTGGCCAGAATATGGTTGTTCATTTTTACAAAGCCATACAGATAGCTGTGTTTACCTTTTCTATAAATTATTTTCAAATTCTGTTTTCAGGCAAAATGTCTATCACTGTTCATTTTCACAAATCTATACAAGAGGGCAGAATATGGAAGTCTATAAAAATGTCTTATTACCAATAACTTGCATCAATGTTTTCAGTAGCCTCTATCAAAAGCTCCTGCTTGCTTGTTGTGAATTATGCTCAGGTGCACATATTTCCAATTCAACCATGAGGCCTTTTTGAAGCAAGTAATGTGTATATCAGTATTGACTTATATGCTGCCCCTGTCTTCATGTTGTTGCTGGACATATCTTTTTTTAAATGTGTGTAGGTCACCTAAATCATCAGAAAAATTGCCCCCGCTGAGAATTTTTTCAGGAGCCGCCACTGGTGGGGAGAACAAGTATTTGATACACTGCCGATTTTGCAGGTTTTCCTACTTACAAAGCATGTAGAGGACTGTAATTTTTATCATAGTTACACTTCAACTGAGAGACGGAATCTAAAACAAAAATCCAGAAAATCACATTGTATGATTTTTAAGTAATTAATTTGCATTTTATTGCATGACATAAGTATTTGATCACCTACCAACCAGTAAGAATTCCGGCTCTCACAGACCTGTTAGTTTTTCTTTAAGAAGCCCTCCTGTTCTCCACTCATTACCTGTATTAACTGCACCTGTTTGAACTCATTACCTGTATAAAAGACACCTGTCCACACACTCAATCAAACAGACTCCAACCTCTCCACAATGGCCAAGACCAGAGAGCTGTGTAAGGACATCAGGGATAAAATTGTAGACCTGCACAAGGCTGGGATGGGCTATAGGACAATAGGCAAGCAGCTTGGTGAGAAGGCAACAACTGTTGGCGCAATTATTAGAAAATGGAAGAAGTTCAAGATGACGGTCAATCACCCTCGGTCTGGGGCTCCATGCAAGATCTCACCTCGTGGGGCATCAATGATCATGAGGAAGGTGAGGGATCAGCCCAGAACTACACGGCAGGACCTGGTCAATGACCTGAAGAGAGCTGGGACCACAGTCTCAAAGAAAACTATTAGTTACACATTACGCCGTCATGGATTAAAATCCTGCAGTGCACGCAAGCTCCCCCTGCTCAAGCCAGCGCATGTCCAGGCCTGTCTGAAGTTTGCCAATGACCATCTGGATGATCCAGAGGAGGAATGGGAGAAGGTCATGAGGGGAGAACAAGTATTTGATACACTGCCGATTTTGCAGGTTT